ATATTATTAAAACACTTTACAGGATTTTATTGTTTATCTTTTAACTCTTCACTATTTTATTATTCTTATACATTTTTCTAAGGTCCACATTTGATTGACCATTTCTTTCTATAACGTTTTGCTGCTGAAAACACCAGAATTTCCTCATTGAGGGACAATAAAGGGATTTTCTATTCTATTCTATTCTATTCTGTTCTACTCTATAAAAACAGGATCATGTATCGGTTTATACCTCATCACCTGATAGGACGCTAATCTATGAGACTCCTCAGGAGAAATGTTTAAATTAATTCACAAATAACAGCAGAAATCAGAATTATTTTTTGGGGAATTTAATTTTGAGGATTTATATCAAAGTTTGATGATAATATGATAAATGATAATGTTTCTAAATAACTCTAATATCTGATCCATATCTTGTAGAGAGGACTGCAGTGACCATGGCTGGTTTAGTAATATGGAATAATCTGTAATCTACAGATACGTAGTTCTTACCTTAAGCTTCACTCATGCATCTATATTTTAGATCAAGCACCTTTAAGAGCAGCGCTGCATTTTTAGAATACGCCATATTTCATCACTCTTATCTTATTCATGCATTCATTCATGACAGCATCTCTGCTTCTGATGTCAGGTGATGTAGATTTTATTTGATAGATTTAACTGATTTTTTCAGGGACTATTTTCTAGCATAAAACAAAGCAGTGACAGGAAAATAAAGGTAGAGCGATAACACCTATGAAAGGTGGAGCGACTGCTTATTGAGCAGAGGTGCTTATGTTCTTTGGTCCTCTGTGCAGGACCTGCGCTCACTTTGGCAAACTGGGAACATCGATTTCATTTACCCTTAAAATGAACGCCAGCTGAACTGTACTGGAGCGCAATGAATGCCAACGCTGTTAAATTGAGGACTTACTGATGTTCAATGGCTGCAGTTCATTAATTACTAAACCACAAGGCTGTGATGTTGGACTACTGAGACCTGAACACATTGATCTTTCCAAAAAATAATAGAGAATTGAAATTTTGCACTTTAAACGCAGCAAAGTGAGTTCAAAGCAACACTTTGTTCTCTGAAATGTGATGTTAGCCGGGTCTGGTCAGAGGCTTCCATCTAATTAAACCTGACAACATCCTGGTAAAGTCTTTTTTTCTTTGCCTTTTTCAATGACAAACACTTTTCAATGGAAACATGAAATGTCAGAAAACAAATTATGTCTCCGTGCTTCAATATTTCTGCTCATTTAAACCAACAGACCTGTGTGCTAATGTAGCTAATGGGCTCCTAAATGTTCCTGTGATTCCAGGTAAATGCTTTTTTACTTTTTAACCTACACCATTAAAAGTTAAAACAAGTGTTTGATAAAAGCCTCCACCTCCAGCAACCCTTACAAATAACCAAGCAGCAAACAGACAGGGCTGCTGTCACTCACCTACTCCATTAAGTGCATAACTGTTTGCAGAGTTCAGCGCTGAACTGCACATCCATAATTTAAACTGGATCCTCTGAGAGGTTTTTCTGAACGTGCCACGGCTCACAGAGGCGCAGGATTTTTCTCGGGCCTCTTAAAGCGACCAAAAACATTAGCAAAGAGCATTTAAGTGGCTGAAAATAAGGTACCTGCCTGTTTTTCTCTGTTAGAGGCTTCTGTTTCTGAATGCCTCCATCCTCTGCAGGGTAACAGCATCACAGGCAGTCCCCCTCCAGCCCTTCCTGATTCCTTCCACATTGAATATCAGCAACAATCCCAGTTGATCTGCTGCTGCTTTTTTGTTCTTTCTCTCCAAACCAATCATTAGATAACCAAGATAACCAGCCTTCCTCCTTCATCAGACTCTTTGAGGGACAGAATATTTTGTTCAGTGGCTGTGAGTTAAATACGTCTTATAGTTTCCTTCAGAAAGCACCTGGCCCCTTTCAGCTGATAGGCACTTTGCTAAGAAGAATGAACGGTAAAAAGCTTTGAAAGTTGGATGATACTGAATTATTAATGTATCTGACTTTGGTAGAACAATGGAAGAGAATAAAGAAGAAACACTAACATATTGCTAACAGGGAAAAGCAGCTCTGGAGAAAAAGATGGAAGCAGGAACTAAAAGCAAAGCCTCCAGGGTGCAAAAGAAGAGTCTCCAAAGTGCCTTCAGAAGAATCCACTTCATGCAAACTAAACTAAAGGATCTATATCTTCGTCTGCATGCAGCCCAACATGTAGCAGCTTTCCTATTGGCTCAAGTGTTTACTCTGTTTTATTCAATGTGGATTTAAAAGCAAACTCAAGGCTGCAGAAAATGGACATATAAAGTGAAGCAAATTAAACGACCAATTTAGTTTAATTTAAATGTTGCATCTATTAACAGCTCTGATCAGTCTGGAACTCTCACGCTGTCCCTTATGAATAAATAGTTTGTTTGCAGCAGATATTGCCTTCCTGATTTATGCAGCGGTTTTCAATAAAACATCATTTTGTCCACTTTGTGTTTATTTAACACTTTAGCTCTTAGTTTTTAGCCATTCTCTGTTTTTTAGTGCGACTTTTAAACTGCTATTCCTGGACACTGCAGTAACTTCAGATAGTTTTCAACCCCTTCTGACCCAGAAATGCCATTTTTTCTCCGTTATTTTGTTCAGCAACACATAGTTGTACAAAACTGGACATGTGGAAAGTGTCTTAGGGCGATGGGGGGGGGTTGAGGGTTAAGGTTAGTGCTGTGTCCCATTCCAACCCCACTCCATCCATCTCCATTGTTTCATCCTTGGGCAAAACACTTCAGCTTGTCACGGTTTCGGTTCTTTTTTCTTTGAGTTTTCACCTTCACTTTGATCCACGTTTTTCTTTGTTTTTTTGTTTTATTGGTTTGATTCCTATTTTTAGTTTTTTCTGGATGTATTTTAGTT